TCTCAAAAGATTTGGCAAGATCTAATTCACTCTCTAATGTAAGACAAGAGCTTACATTACTTTTGAACAGTCTCCACTGGAGCTGATACTGCTGATGTTTCAGATACACTCTACCTCTGCACACACAGTAGAAAGCAAACCATCCTCAGAGAAGGCCCCCAGGTCAAAGCAGCGGTCTGGTGACTGGGCAATGTGGGAAATCCTACATTACTGCTGCTCACCTTGCACTTGTTCTGTGTACACTAAGAAGATTTCAGTACACAGGAATGTCATTATAAATCAGCACTTTTTCAAAATAGCATAAAGCTATTCTGACAAACTCTCCCACAAGCCGCAAACAAATGAAGCCTGATATCTAACAGACTGGTGACCTACACTCCTTCATCCTCATCAAAACAAACTCAGCTTGTCACCGTGCCCTCTATGAGTTTGTGTCAAAAAACTCCAATTCCTCTCACATTTTCACATCTCTCCACAATCTCCATATTTTCTTCTCCAGAACCCTAACTCCCCTAGTACTGTGTACATCATTTTATCTCACCAGCCCACCGCATTGCATGGTCTTGCTCCTAATTGCCATCAGAACAGGAGGCACCGTGTGCTGCAGCTGGCTCCCTGGCACATTAGCACCAAGTGACTGGTCAAGATGCACATGCCAATTCATCAGTGAGCAGGCAAAACAGAAGTGAGGACCGATGAATTAATGCTGCACCTCTGCCTCACAGGAAAGAAAGAAGTACACTGACTTGGGTTTCTCTTCTCTACCCAGAGGCTGATTTGTGTGGAACACTAAAGACACCTTGCAGGAAACTTTGAAGTCTATGTCAATTTGTCTGAAACTTTCTGAAGTTCTGAAGGCTAATTGATAGACAGATTGATTACACAAGCTTTGTTTCTCTAGGAAAGTAGGCTAAAAATCCATTAAGAATCTACTTATGTCATCCCTTCATTCCCATTCTTCATTTAAAAATAACAATTCTATTCTAGTGCAATAGCTTACATAACTCTCTCCTGAGCTGAAATAGTTCAAACTTTCTGCCCATATTTATCAAGTGTGTGTGTATATGTTTTTTTGTGCATTTTGAGGTGTTCAGTAGGAATGCAAAGCAATAGCTAAAAGATGAGCAAAACCAAGTAAGCCTCAATAAATGGTTCTCTTAAACTTTTTGGATTAGTATCACCGCAAACGAGAACCGAGCTGCTTTTTCTCCAGCAAGCTGTCAGTTGTTCTCATGGTTACAGATCTAGGAATTTGGAATGACAGGCCACAGTTATGAGAATATTTATTTGGCATGTTTCTATCTAGTAAATAACATTCTCCTACAAACAGGACAAGAGATTGCTGTACATTATCATTTTGTTTATTCTTTGCAAAGACCACTTTTCAGAGTCTCCCTCCCCAGCAAAGAAGGTGCTAACCAGATTTACATATTTCCTCAAATTCCTCACTCACAGAATGAGGACAAAAATATACAACTCTTACACTCTCTATTACTATAAATGGGCCAATGGGGCTTTCGCTGGGAGATCCAACTGTACACATACATTTTCCAGATGGGACTTATCTGCCGGTGTGAAGCAGGGATGGAAAAGCACCCTCCCTATTTTTATGCAAGAGAAGGCAGGGATGTTAACTACTGTTGCAGGGCAAAAACTATTCTGTCAATTATATTAAAAAATTAATTACATGTTAAAAATATAACCAGAATATCTAACTGCCAAGATTTATACAGTTCCAGATATAGTATTATGCAAACAAGGCATTACATCAATGTATTAGCCATGCTCTGGGCTCACTATCCCTGGATTTTTAAGGCCTACCTAACACTGGGCAGCAAGTCCTAAACGTAAAGTGAAGGGTCCACAGCTTTCAATGCTTGAGATAGGCCCTTGGACCATCAGTTCAAGCCCACAAGCCTTCCACGATGCAATCAGGCCAACAGAAAGCTGCTCACATTTCTGCACCAATACAGAAGGCCTATAACCAAGAGGCCAGGGAAGGCCTTCTTCAGCTCAGGGCTCAGGCTCCCAAGGCTGCACATGGAAGCCTTGAAGCCCTGATAACAACAACATTATCAGAACTTCTGCTCTCGCAGACGACGACCCGGGCAAGTTGCCAAGGTCCCTGCTAGGGACTCAACTGCCCACCAGTCCTGCAAGTTCTGGTCCAAGCTTAGTCACAAGACTCTGGGTTCCAAATTCACATCTTACATTTCAAAAAAAGTGTCTAGGGAATTTCCATTACAAGGGAAATCTCAAAACATCAAAATTTCCCATGAGTAAAGCAAGTTTAGTCCACCTCTCTTTTGAGTTTCCTTCAGAGAAGCTTTACCCTTTGTGTTCAACACTCAGAATGAATTTTCATTAAAAATGATATATATGAATAAAATGTGCAAATTCTCCTCTAAGACTTTTTACAATATAAAATCGTTCCTCAAGTTATATTAAAATTTCTACAGTTACCTCCACATGCACATGCCTGCCTTGAAACAACAGCCTTCTCTTATAAAGCACAAACTTATCTATGTGGTCTCAAGACTACTAATAGGGAAGATAAATTCTATAGAGATGAAGCCACAGAGGTATTTAAAGTACACAGTTCCACTTTGGCATAACATTTACTCACTGTTTCTGTAAAGAAATGGTACCTCTAAAGGGGTGAGAGGACAGCCAAGTATGGGGACAGCATCATCAGAGTGCTGTCCCATGGGGAGAAACATCAATGGCAACAAGCCTGGCCTGGGCATCGTCAGATATCACAAGGCCACAGAGCAACCACTTGAGGGGAGGGGCAATGTGCCTTCCCACACGGAAACCACACATTCCTGGGATTCTAGCTCCCACCTAGCAAGTAGCAAGGAAGGGATGGACAAACTGCATGAGTGTGTATTAGGCAAATAGAATATTTGGCCTATTTTACTAATAGAAACTGTCACAAAGCTGTTGATATTTAGTTCTGGCATTTTAGAGTCACAGGTCCCAGTTCCAGTTTGCCAACTTGCTGCAGAAGTGAGAGTGAAATAAAGAACATCAGGCAGAACTCACTCCTGGTGGGCAGGTCACACCACCTTCTCCTACACTACAAGCATAGGAAAGAAACTCTGTAATTAAAAATATGAGGCATTTGATCAGCAAGACAATAATCCTCCTGAAGATACATTAAACTTGGGCAGTCTCCAAAAATATCTTTTTTCAGAAACGGAATTTTTCTTAATACTAAAGTTTCTGATTTCCCTAGCACCTAAATGAATAGGACACTTTCTCAGAGCTTTATGTATTTATAATATGACTATTTTTTGAATGCCTATAAATTATTTCTAAAGACTTTAAAAACAAAACTAATAAATAAACAACAACAACAAGAAAGCTTTTATAATTTTCTTCCTTGTCATTAAAAAGGTAATGTAACACTTCAGTTTTATGCAGTGCCTAGAAACTTCATAAAATTTAAAATGAAGTAATACAAGTTAAAGCCACTTATGCTGTATGTTTTGGATATGTCCAGGATAGACTACAGAAGAGGATATAGTTCTAACTCATGATTTAGCACTCAACAGTGAAAGTAATTTCACTGACCTCAGAGACACAAGAGCAAACCCTAAAAGGACAAATGGCTCCTTTCCTGAAGTTTTGCTTCAGTCTGTGTTCAGACAAGCTAGCTGAAAGGTGCTGCACATTTCACTGTACTGCTAAACTGTTACTAATAAATTCTTGTTCTCTATTAACCACCTACACAGCCCAGGGTTTACCTCAGTAGAATTCCTTCTCACACTCATTCGCCCCCTAGAATAGCAGGGGTATTGAGCCAAATGATTCAAAAGCCCTTTTCCATCTTGAACTTCTATTCTTCTGGTACTTATACAAAATCCCCACACACACAGCAGTTTAAAAGGAAAGCAATAAAGCTATGGAACAGTAATTGTTTCCCCCTGTACACCAGTTTCTATCGCAGGATCAAAAGGACTTTGTGCATAAATTGAGGGGTAGTATTATTGGCTCCTTGATATGGAATATGCCAAAGTACAAAAGATTTTTTTTTGCAAAGCTAGGCCACAAGTTGATGCAAACAAAGGCAACTGCGCACAGCATTTTAGCTCCTGTACTATGTGTCCTCCAGCGTAGTAAGCCTGCAATTACCATGAGAAAAGTCCACCTGGAGGTATCACCTACAAGTAGCATTATTTCTTGCTTACATATTTCTTCAAAACATATGCTCTGCTTGAAAACAATTCAATGCCAATCAGCCGGCAGGGTGAACAATTTAAGTTGTGATCTCAGCAAAGGTAGGAGGGGGAATTTGCTAAAAGCTATGTATTTCAGTTACAAAAAGGACCAAGAAGCATATTATAAAGACAGGCAAATACATGTTACAGATCATGGGGGAGGAAAAAAAAAAAAGGGGGCTAAGTGTATGTCTGTATGCCTTTAAAAGTGCAGTTTATGGGTGCAAGCTGCCAAATTACAGAGGGGATTTGCTGAGAAGAGCCCATTGCTGCCAGAAGGGACAAAAGCAGCATTCTGCCCACTCCAAGCTCCTCCCCAGCTCCTGTCACGCTCACAGCGAGAAGCAGCTCAAAAACTGACAGCCACAGACTCCGGGACTGGGAAAGACAAAAAGTATCTGCTGGTAAATGCTTGGAGGCAAGGGGGGGAGAGGAAGGGGGAGGAAAAAGTTATTTTTGAAGAGCTAATAAAAGAGAGCCAGGGAAAAACACCCAGATCAGAAAAAGGTTCCCCTAACCATTAATAAATAAATAAATCCTAATCAAGAAGTACACCTTGGCAGGCGGCCGCACACCTCTCTCGGAGAGCTACCCCTCGGGCGCATTTTTAAAGCGGGCGCCGCAGCCCGTACGCGGCGAGTCCCCCGGGCACCCGATCCGCGGGGGCTGCTCCGCACGGGCGCCGCTCCAGCGCAGCCCGGGCATGTCGCGGGCCGCCCCCGGCCGGCGGTGCCGCCCCCGGGCCGCGACGGCCCCGCACGAGGCGCCCGCGCCTACCTGGTTGCTGTCCTCGCCGTGCTCCAGGTGCACGATGCCCTGGCTCCTGCCCTCCGTGTCGCTCAGCAGGTCGTCCTCGGAGTCCTCGAGCAGGGACGAGGAGCCCGTGGAGGAGAGCGAGGAGGTGGAGAGGCGGCGGGACTGCAGGTGCGACGAGCTGTCCGTCCTCAGCCAGCCGCCTTCCGGGTGCGGCGGCGGCGGCCGGGCGCTGCCCTGCGCCTCCTCGCTCTCCTCGGCGGTGACGGTGAGCCGGGGAATGACGGGCGGCAGGACGCCGTTGGGGGGCCGGCAGCCGCGCTTGGCCGGCTCGGGCAGCTGCCGGGCGGCGGCGGCGGCCACGGCGGCGCAGCGAGCCTCGAAGAGGGAGCGCAGCTCCCCCACGCTCAGCCGCGTGCCGCGGCTCAGCTCCGGGCTGCTGTGCAGCCCCGCGCGGGGCTTCATGGCGGGCTCGGCGCCCGGCGCTGCGCTCCAGCACGAGCGGCTCGGGGCGTGCATGGGGCAGCGCCGTTGCCGCCGGAGAAACTTCTTTGTGGCTCAGCCCGCCGCCGCTGCACCGAGCGCCGCCGCCAGCCTCATGCCCAGCCCGCCCAGCCGCCCGGGGCAGCAGCGCCGACTCACCCGCCACCGAGCCCGCCGGCCCGGCGCCAGGGCCATGGGGGCGCGCTGAGCCCGCCCGCCCCGCTCCGCCTCGGCGCTGAGGGGAGGAGCGAGCCGCGCCGCGCCGCAGGGAGCCGCCGCCACCCGCCTCCGCCGCCCTTTTGGTTTCGGTTTCCCTGGGGCGGCCCGAGGAGGCGCCCTCGCGCCCCGCCCCCCGCCTTACCTCCGCGCGCCCAACGGCCGCTCCAACGGCC